CCAATAATGGTTTCCTAACTGTAACATCATTTGGTAGAGTTTCCATTTTGGTCACTTTTGCCAATTTTGCAAGAAGAAGCAAGATTTTGTCCAAGAGGTTTTCCTTTGGTTCCAAGCATCCAAGAAGCTCCCTAGAGGTCTATTAGAGGTGTCTCAAGTGTCATTTCATTTCTATGATAAGACATTTAAAAGTTGGCAAGTGAACTACAAGAGGTAAGCTCCCTAAAATTTTGAACTTTGTGAAATATAGTTTGCTTTGATGTTCATTGAGTTTAGACATGCTTGACATATCATATATGACATGTTTGAACCATTTTGTGATGTTATTATTGACTGTATGATGGTATGCCATAAAACTTGCAAATTTGAAAGATTTTAGGTCTTGTTATCGAGTTTTTAAATAGAATCATCTTTAAGAAAAACCAACACCACCACTAAATTCCTTGTGAAATTTCAAGCAAGTTAGGTCTTTACATTTTTAAAATTCAAGAAGAGATGAGAGAGTTAGAGGTGCTTTTGCAAATAGACACCAAACCTGATTTTCTTGGGCAAGAACATGGTTCGAGCGCCCTTTTATTCTAGCCAGACCAAGCTTGTTTGTCATATGTATTAATAGACATGGTTTAATACACGGATGTATCACCACCCTAGTGGTTAAACCTGCGCGTCATATGTACCTTGTCACCATTAGAATTGGGGTTCGAATCCCTCTCTCCCCAGTTCTTTTTATATTTTATAAATTTCAAGTGTTTTTCACATATATTGTTGTGGTTCCCTCTCTTTTCAACCTGCGCGCATTGGCTGGTCGGTCTTGGTTTTGTGCTGCAAGCGAAATGTCATGGGTTCAACACCCATGTGGACCCTTCCCATAATTTTTAATGACTTATTTTCTTTTTCTTTTTTCTTTGTATTTTCAGATGATCATAACTTTCTCATTTTTTATCATTTTAAACCCATTCTTTTTGCAAATTGTTCATGATAATGTCTATTTTATATTTGTGAAAAGAAAATATCAAAAATATTTATTTTTGATGCATTTATGAATGTTCAAAGTGTGTGGTATTTTTAGGATTTCTTAATGACTTCTTTGATTCTTGTGAATGTTTCCTTGCTTTCCCTTGCTTGAAAAGACTTGTTTGCACCATGTTTGAACTTATATGAACCTTGTATGATGTTGTGATATTGTACATCCTTGTTCTCACTTGTTCTTGATACATTTTTCAAGTATATGTTCATATAAAAATGTATATTGAACTTTGTCTATACCATGAACTTTTTTGCCCTAACATGTGATGTTCTTTCCATGTTTACATCTTCATCCACATGTTGTTATCTTTAAAATGTACTTTTGTTCAAAGTATGCTTGGTTGTTTCCCTTACAATATTCATTGGATCCTCGATTCATTTTGAAAACATGCTTGCTTGAACTTCTCTGTAATTGCTCCCATGGATTAAATTTTTGCTCATATGTTCAAGTATTTCCTTCATAAACTCTTACCATGATGAATATATCTCTTTGTTTGATGCAGATTACATTACATTTTCGAAACAAATTTGGGCCTCTATAAGAGTGTAAGACGCATTACATTTTAAACCTTTTGGGTCTCTATAAGAGTGTAAGACCCATTACATTTTTAAAACCCTTTAGGCTTATATAAGAGTGTAATATCCATTACATTTTCAAACATTCTGGGTCTTTATAAGAGTATAAGACCCACCAAATTTTCAAGTCAACCATGCTTAGACATAGGCGTTTATTAGAATGTAAGACCCTCCACTTTCAATTCATGTCTATACTTGTCAATTCTTTTCATATACTTGTTCATATTAAGTTTCTCTTGACATTTATGACACCTCATCCTTAGTTTAAACTGAGTTCAAACATTAGGGTTCCCTCAACTACAACTTAAGACAAACCCTAGTTCCCGTCGGATGAAGTCAACTTCATCAGAGGCCTCCTCTAGGGATTCATACAAGTATGGATGGCAACGGGACAGGACGGGAGCGAGTTTAACTATACTCGCACCTACACCCGCCTCCATGTAACACACCCGCCCCGCCCCCGCCCCCTAAACTCAATCGGAGGTAAAAATTTACCGTCCAGACCCGCCCCCAATGGAGAATGGGTGCACACCGCACCCACAAGTAAAAAATTAATTTCTTTTTAATTGTAATAAAAATTAATAATTTAATTAAAAAATTGATTATTATAATAAATTAATTAAATTTTAAATTAGTAAATGAATATTAATTTGATTATTTTAATTGTAATTTATAATTAATAAATGAATATTAAAATAAGTAAAATAAGGGAATTAAAATAAAATGCATTATTCGGGGGCAGAGCGGGGCGGGGGCGGATGCGGACGGGTCTTAGTGTCTTCCCGCACTCGCACCCGTAGTTAAGAACCGGGTTTTCCCCGTTAATTTCGGGGCGAGTGCGGGCAGGTCCGGGTTTGTTTGTCATCCCTACATACAAGGACTCTCAGGCTTCTTAAAAGCATCATAGCCTCTATCATGGACTTCATACAAGGTAACATCAATTCAAAAAATCTCACTTAAGTCAGCCTCCTCTCAGACTATAAAAAAACTTTCAACTTCACATCTTGAGCTTTGAACAAGAAACAAATAAGCCTTCAGCTTCATATCTTGGCATTTGAACAAGATACTCAAATAAATCAACTCCTCCCCATAGATGAGACATTGAGTCATCCTTGCAGGAAGATATCTCTTTTATACACCACAATTCAAAATCAAACATTAAAAACTTATTCCATATAAGTGATGTAAGTGGCACACTTGTTAATTCAAAATCCAAGTTGAAGTCCTTCTCTTATCATGGTCCAAGACTTTTCTTTCATATAAGTGATATAAGTGACACACTTGTAGATACTATATCCAAGTTAAGGTCTTTCTCTTAGCATGTTAAGGTCTTTCTCTTAACATCCAAGTTCAAAGCTTCTTCCTTTATGTTATTATTCTCAAATGTTTGTGATGAATAGGTGGGATATCTTCCTTAAAGATGACAATTTGTCTTTTCTTTCAAACCCACAAAACTTTTAGCATCATATCTTGGGCTTTGAACAAGATACACAAATACCCTTTTTAGCTTCATCATCTTGGACTTTGAACAAGATACAAATTCCACTCATAGTTAGGTGGAACTATGAACGCTCTGATTTCTCAATTTTCTTTTGAGGATACGTAGGTATAAGATTGCAAGATCTTAGCTAGAACACCTTTAAATAAAACCTCTTAGGCCCCCATACATTTCATAAAACAAAAACTCCCAAAATATCTCATATTCTCATTCTCGTCCATAGGTTAAAATTTTCCCAATCAGCAGTAAACAACTTAAGTAGAAGAAATGACTGATAGTAAAAAGTGTACAAAAGATTCCTATAGAGTACTATAGATACTTAGGATATTAATAGTTTTCCTTAGTATAACCAACCCCCGATTACAGATCTCTTTGCATTTGTAGGGATAACACTTGCACGCAGGGTTAATTTAGATTTCTTTCCCTTCCTTTTAAGTATCATAGAATAAATATTAGAAATTGGAAAGTGGCACAAGCATGGTTCACAGAAATCTCGCCATCTCAGGATTGGGTGGGGTAACAAAAATCAGTCCACATAACCGAACCGAAAATATAACCGAACGGAACCAAAATTGAAAATGAAAATTACTAAAAATAAGTTTTAAATTTTTTTTTAAAAAAAAATTGAAAAAAATACTTTAATGGTTCGGTTCGTAAAAAATTTACAGTTCGGAATTTCTAAATGGTATATCAAACCGATTATTTTGGTTCAGTTCGATTCAGAATAAAATAAAATAGTTCGGTTCAGCTCGAATAAACTTTTACTATAGTTTGATTTGGTTTAGTTTTTTTCACTCAACTGAACCGTGAACAACCTTAAATATAAGCACTATTTATTTATTTCGAAAATGTTTATTTCATTTCAAGGACTACATTAGTTACATTGTAGACACTTAACTCATGTTGCTAAGGTTGTTTTCTCACAAAAGCCAAGACATCTCTTTAGTCCCTAAAAATGGTAAAAGAGTCATACACCTTTCCATCACTACTTTTCTTACTCAAACAACAGATATGAGTGATTAAATGTTGTCAGTTTTCCAAAACCATAGTCTATGTCCCTGAAAATACTCTAAACAGGAGGTGCTGCAGAGAAGTCTCACAAGTGACTTCCCCCTTTCACCAACAACCACATGAATTGTTCCATTCACAGTTCCAGAGGAATGATATTTTTCCTTATTCACACATTGATTCTGCATTAAAAGCATTTGAATAAAATATATAATAGAGAGATTATATAGAATGCAAACGTACAACAAGATGCGACTTGGTATATACCTGATAAATGGGGCATACTCTTTCATCCATATGGACATGACCATAAAATGCAATGTCTACTTTATACTTCTGCCAAAGTCCTTGCAAACATTCCCTTCACATGGGCTCTTCAAATGAGTCTTCCATGGCATACCAAGAGTTAGAAGAGTAACCAAGGAGACGATGTGCTGCGAAGATTAACCAAGGTTGCTGTTTTCGATCTACAGTTGCAAGACAATTCTCAATGAATTTGTACTGTTCTGATCCTTCTCTTCAACATGCTCACTGTCTGCTACACAGAAATGAAACATGACATAATTTGTTGCGTACCAGAATTTGGCTCTATTCTCAGCAGGAAAATAGTACATGGTTTCTGCAGTAACTCCACATTCTCCACCAGAATCCGGAGTGTTGAAGAATGATCCAGTGTTTGGCCAATCACTCATGGTTTCCACTGAAATGTGAATAAATGCATAAATGCAAAACAGAACTCAAATGTCAAAGGAAAAAATTAAAAATAGTTGTAATTACACTCTAGTCCCTATCAAGATACACATGCATCACACTCGTGGTCACCAATCAAAAAGCGAAGTCTACCGTAATCTAAGCCCTATAGTGGTAACCAAAAACCTTATCCAACTTTCCAATGACTATCATCACTCTCTCCCTCCCTTCCACAAACCCCTCCTTCTTCTCTTCTTCTCCAAAACCATTCAAATTCAATCCCAAATGCTCTTCACAACTTTCTCCCACTCCCTCTTCACTATCCAAAACTAGTCGAGTCATTATAATAGGCGCCGGCCTCGCCGGCTTAGCTGCTGCCACCCACCTCAACTCCCAAAACATCCCTTTCCTCCTCCTCGAATCATCCGACGCTGTCGGTGGCCGTGTCCGCACCGACATTGTCGACGGCTTCCGCCTGGACCGCGGCTTCCAAATCTTCATCACCGCTTATCCAGAAGCCCAAAAACTCCTCAATTACCAATCCTTAAACCTCCAAAAATTTTACTCCGGAGCTAAAATCTTCTACGACGGCAAATTCCACACCGTGGCAGATCCACTTCGCCACTTCTTGGATTCCGCAAAATCACTCACGAATCCCATCGGTTCCATTTTTGACAAATTACTGATCGGAACAACCAGAATTGGCGTCCTCACAAAATCAGATGAACAAATTCTTACTTCAGAAGAAGTCCCCACAATTGAGTTACTAAAGAGGCTAGGGTTTTCCGATTCCATCGTTACAAGATTCTTCCGACCTTTTTTCGGCGGAATCTTTTTCGATCCAGAACTCCAAACAACTTCAAGACTATTCGATTTCATATTCAAGTGTCTCGCACTCGGCGAAAATACTCTCCCGGCGAACGGCATATCGGCGATTCCTGAACAGTTAGCGGCAAGGTTGCCGACAGATTCAATCTTGTTAAACACGAAAGCAGTTTCCATTGATTTTGGTGGCTCCGAATCGCCGCGTGTGAGGTTGCAGAACGGCGACGTTTTGGACAGCGAGTTAGGAGTGATCGTGGCCGTTGAAGAACCGGCTTTGGTCAAGCTATTGGCGGGGAGAAAAAACCCGGTTCTTAAAAAACCGGTTCGTAGTACAGTTTGTTTATATTTTACTGCAGAACCGGATTATATCCCTCTTCATGATCCAGTTCTGTTTCTGAACGGGTCGGGTAAGGGAATTGTGAATAACATGTTCTTTGTTACAAATGTAGCTCCGACATATGGTCCACCAAACAAGGCATTGGTTTCTGTATCATTGATTGGGTTATTTGAGAATGAATCGGAGGATGAGTTAGTGGATAAAGTGGTTCAAGAACTTTCGGATTGGTTTGGAGATAGAATGGTACAAGAATGGAAGCATTTGAGGACTTATCGAATTGAGTATGCACAGCCTAATCAATGTCCACCCACGAGTTTGAAGAAAAACCCGAATGTTGAATCGGGTTTGTATTTGTGTGGTGATTATTTGACTTCAGCTACTTTTGATGGTGCTTTGGTATCTGGGAGGAGAGCAGCTGAATCACTCTTAAAGGATAAACGCTTCATTGGCTAATGCTTCATGAGTTAATTACTCGCCACTTTTGAAGAATTATTTCATATTCTTCGTTTACATTGCAGTTGCATGTAAAATGTAACCTTTTGTGATAAAAAACACGAAAAAACTGATATATTACTTACATCTTAAAAATAAACATATGATATATCATTGTTGTAAGTAGACTATTGGATTGGGATATCTTCGAAAGAGACTCAAAGGACTCAGCTTACCAACCTTCCACATTTAAGTAACATGTGAGAACCTTACTAGGAGATGATAAGGTCTCTTGGAGCTAAGCTCACTCCCTCTTATGAAAGATGTGGTGGAATACATCCTCAATGAGTTGAATAAGACCTCAATCAAGAAATAATTGAAGTATTGGTTGGACTTATCTCACTTCCAACATAAAAGGATTATTCACTCTAATCATCCCTTTAATAAGTCATACCTTAGAAACTACTAGTTGGTTTTGTAGGCATAAGAATGGATCTCTCAATTACTTTCACCACCATAGTTCTCGTCTATAAATACTTTGCTAACCAGTTGAGTAAACCATTTCACTTTTTATATATTAGAATATTAAGCCCTCTTGTGCACGTTATCTCAAATAGGGTACAATATATTATTCTCGCTACAAGTACAATCAATGTCCATCGTGTGACCCGTTAAAACTAACTTGTACCACATTCTTATTTGAAGCATCAATGTGCCTAACCATCGTTCCACAATGGTGATACGTGTTAGCAGGAGTACCAACGCATACCAATAAGCCATAATGAAGATGCATGCTGTTATGGAAAAGTTACGTCGCCACAATGAAACCCTGGATGACAACATTCTGCATCTTCAACAACAATGACAACAAGACGTATACCAACCACAGGGTATGAAGATCCTAGATCCCTAACCCCTATGCAAATAAATATGGGGATATGCTAGTATTAGTAGCCTTCGACGGAAAAATGACCCACTAAGCATATTACTGCAATCAACACTTAGATGACAATAATATACGTCACTAACCCTTTAAAGTGTATGCCTCTTTCTGGAACACTTAAAGTGGCAGCCTTGAGATGGTGTGTGAATCTACCTAGATTCTCTATGACCATCTACCAATATCTCTCTAGGAAGATAATTCACGAATTCTCTACAAACAAATACCAGAGGGTTCCATCGACTAGTTTGTTCAATGTTCGCCAGGGACATACCGAATCCCTAAGACAATAGCTATTGAGTTTCAACAAGGTGACCATCAAAGTGGACACCCCTATCTAGGAAATGTTCCTGGGAGCTTTCCAAAACAAACACAAAGTTATGCACTTCAATGAGTCTCTCGTCCAAAAGCCCACATATTTAATGTAAGATATCATGACACAGGTTGAATATTATATAAATGGAAAGGAAAGCAACATCAAGAAGAAGGTGAAGATTGTGAAGAAACACAACAAAAACGTATATGAATCCTCTCACCATCACAATAATCATTTCACATCACCCATTCGTGACAAGGCAACTTCCAAACATGTCAAGAAGCCCATAGAGAGCTACACACCACTCAACACCAAGAAAGAGCGGATTTTGCGTGAAGTATCTCACATGAATGCCATCTCAACTTCTCTACCTCCCAAGTATGGAGTTATGAGGAATGAGCCCAACCAATGGTGCAAGTACCACAAAGTGAAAGACCCTCATATAGATGATTACCTCCAGGAAAAGAATGAGATATAACAACTCTTCCAAGAAGAACATATGAGAAGGTTTATTTAGGGAGTCGTTAGCCTCTGATTTTCAACACTATATTAAACCTAGTTTGGATGAGTCTCAGGAATAAATCCACAAGATTAGTACACTCTACCATCAAAATATGTCGAAAAGGTTTGCACAAATCAACACTTCGACGTGGAAATGTGGTGTGAAAGTTTTGATTTCGATGTGTGCATTAAATTTTATGGACTTGGTGTGTTTTTGCATCAAAAAGGTCAGTTAGACTAAGGATGGTTAGACAACACTATAAAAGTCGACTGGAGATTCTCGAAAAAGTCAACTAAGAGGAAGTTATCAGCATAGGTGACAGTTTGAAGCAGTTCAAACGTGAATGCATGTGAAAGCCATGCATAGGCCAATATCCAAGTCACGGTGATTTAGAGATTCAATGAGAAATGTATGATTATGCGCACCATTTTATGTTAATGCAAAATTGTGCAAGATAATGACAAGAAGAATATGTTTAATGGCTTTAGAGTAAACAACGTCTATATGCTTGACTTAAATGAAGTATCGTTAACAAGTGACAAATGCCTCATAACAATGAGTGAAGACTCATGGCTATGGCATAGGCGTTTAGCGCATGTTAACTTTGACTTACTAAATAAAGTAGTCTCAAAAGACTTAGTCTTAGGACTCCCCAAAATAAAGTTCACCAAGGATCACCTTTGTGATGCTTGTCAAAAAGGGAAGCAAACGAGGATCTCATTTAAATCCAAAAAGATCGTTTCAACGACGAAACCTCTCGAACTTCTTCATATGGACTTGTTTGGGCCGTCTAGGATTAAAAGTTTAGGAGGAAACTATTACGGGTTCGTAATAGTGGACGATTTTTCTAGATTTTGTTGGACTATCTTTTTAGTAAGTAAGAGTGATACATTCGCCGCTTTTGAAAGGTTTGCTAAGCTTTCCCAAAATAAGTTAAATACAAACATTGTGTCAATTAGAAGCGACCATGGAGGTGAGTTTGAAAATCACTTATTTGAAGAATATTGCGGTAACCATGGTATAGATCATAACTTCTCCGCTCCACGCACTCCTCAACAAAATGGGGTTGTGGAGCGTAAAAACCGAATTTTAGAAGAATTGGGAAGAACAATGATTAACGAAAGTGGTTTACCGAAATATTTTTGGGCCGACGCCATTAGTACGGCATGTTATGTTTTGAATAGGGTGTTCATTCGCCCCATTCTAAATAAAACACCGTATGAGCTTTTAAAAGGGAGAAAGCCAAATGTTTCTCACTTGCATGTTTTTGGTTGCAAATGTTTTGTATTAAACAATGGAAAGGAAAACTTGGGCAAATTTGATTCCAAGGCTGACGAAGGTATATTCCTCGGATACTCTCAATCGAGTAAAGCATATAGAATATATAATAAACGATTACTTGTTGTAGAAGAGTCTGTGCATGTTACTTTTGATGAGTCCTATCCAAGAAATGTCGGAAAGGATAGTGTTGTTCATGGTGCAGGTACATCTACGAAAGACATACTCAAAGGGGGCGAGCCAGGAATTGATCAACCTGACAAAGCCAAAGTTGAGGAGGATAAAGATGTACACCATGAGGTAACCGAGGAAGCTCATCCGCCTACAAACAATGATCTCCCTCAAGCTTGGAAGTCTCCCAAAGATCATCCAATTAACAACATTCTCGGAGACATCGCAAAGGGTGTAACAACTCGATCGAAGCTAAGTAATTTCTGTTATCACTTCGCTTTCGTTTCACAAATGGAACCTAAAAACCTAAAGAAGCCCTACTCGATGAACACTGGTTTTTGTCAATGCAGGAGGAACTAAATCAGTTCACTAGAAATGAGGTTTGGGACCTTGTCCCTCCTCCGTGAGGTCATCGAGTAATCGGCACCCGATGGGTGTTTAGGAACAAGTTGGACGAAAACGGGGTAATAACCCGTAATAAGGCGCGTTTAGTCGTGCAAGGGTATAACCAAGAGGAAGGCATCGACTATGAGTAAACTTATGCGCCGGTTGCCCGACTCGAGGCTATACGCCTTCTCCTTGCCTTCGCTTGTGCGAAAGATTTTAAACTATTTCAAATGGATGTTAAGAGTGTGTTCCTTAACGGTTACATAAATGAAGAGGTCTACGTCACACAACCTCCGGGTTTTGAATCTCTTGAGTATCCCGATCATGTCTACAAACTAAAAATGGCTTTATATGGTCTCAAACAAGCTCCTAGAGCTTGGTATGAGAGCCTAAGTAAATTTTTACTTGATCAAGGTTACTCAAGAGGAAAGGTTGACACGACTCTCTTTATTAAACGCCAAGGAAAGCACTTGATATTGGTACAAATTTATGTTGACGATATTATTTTTGGGTCTACTAACATGAATCTCGTGAGAGAGTTTTTTGATATTATGCAGGGTGAATTCGAGATGAGTATGATGGGAGAGCTTACATACTTTCTCGGTTTGCAAATTAAACAACTCAAAGAAGGAACATTCGTGATTCAAACAAAGTATTGTTTGGACCTTATCAAGAGATTTGACATGGAAAACTCCAAGGCCATAGACACCCTCATGCCAACATGTGCAAACTTGAATAAAGATAAAAGCGGTAAGGACGTAGAGGTAAAAAGGTATAGAGGTATGATTGGATCACTTCTCTATCTTACTGCGTCTCGTCCCGATATTATGTTTAGCGTGTGTATGTGCGCAAGATAATGTAATAACAATTGCATCCTCTCTCAGTCCATATTTAGCATCAGGATCTGATATAAGAAATCCTAGTCGAATGCCACAACAACAAGGAGGGTTAGGATATGTCACTCAAGGTATACAACCCTTGACCATTAATTCCCTCCAATTTGTGAGGAAACAAATGGATGAGATTAACCATGATATGGTAAATATGCTTATACAGCTAATTGGTATTGTGTTTAATCCTTTGATCCAAAACACTAACAACCCTTACCTAAGGTAGTCAAAGCAAAGCAAGCCAAAATGGCCCTGAGGTAGTATTGGTGCATGGAAACCAGGATGTAGACCAGGTAGTTAGGAATGTCCAACAAAATAATTTTGGGGGAAAAATAATATAGCCAACATGGTCGAACAAATTTTAGCTAAACTGGCCTCGGTGTTGGCCTTCATAGGCCAAATTTTGTCTCTGCTTTGTCTGAATATGTGTGGCATACTTAACTTCTAATGGGTATGAAAATCCTTAAGTTCACTAAGTTTGTAAGGGATGCCAACAAATCCACTCTTGAACACGTTGCTAGATATGAGTATGAGGCA